TTCCCGTCCCCGCGGGTGCCCCCCCCCCCCCGCTTCTTGTCTATTGAGCAGCCTATTGCCTTTGGCTTTCCTTAGTGCATCAGCAAAAGCATGATGGGTAACATAACCCACTAGGATTTGTTAGTGCTTGGGGTTTTCCAGCCATCATTTGAGTTGGTGTGTGTGTAGCTAAAGGACACTAGCTTCATGATGAAATAATAGTACCATTGTCTGTCTCTTACTGTAGAGATGATTGCTTGGGTCATTGTATTGTTTTATAAGCTCAGTATAACCCTGCTTAAAAATATAGCTTATAGCTTTTTTGTAAAGAGTCAGCCATAATGCTGCAGGTCTATTCTACTCACCTCTCTTCTCCACCTCAAAGTCGTAACTATATATATAGTAAAATCGCATGAAAGTGTGTACTGTTTAATTAGGTCACCTGACATCAGGGTTAAAATGTGTTCCCACTGTATTTATTTTGCAAATAATTATAAGGTGTGTTCTATTCCGATAACCTTCTGAATATTTTTCTTATAAGTATATAATTAGAAGCACCTGTAGTACATTGCCTTTAACCATTATCTTTTTGGTTTCGTGTTGTGGTATTTTCTCCCTTTTGATGGAGCAGGGTTGGAGGACTGTATTACCATGCCAAATATCTTATAGCCATGTGCCCAGTGTAAGCTTCATAACCTTAAATGTGGAATGCTGTGCATACATTATTGTTTTTTTTAACTTATAATAAGACAATGAACTTCAGATCACTTCATTAAAAATTATAAAACATTCTTTGTCTTTAGCATTTAATTTCCCACCAAATAAGAAATTAATGTAAAACTCAAGCTACCTTTACATTGTCCAGTTTGGTTGTAATGCAAGTTACTTCTTATATCAAAACAAAAGTTGGATTCAAAGTCTTTCAATCTTTAATTCTTTTCTTCCTTCTCCTCTTTTTCTTTAGGAGGAAAGAGTATCAAAAATGTTAAAGGCTGTGCTGAAGAAGAGCCGAGAGGGAGGAAAAGGAAGCAAGAAGGAAACAGGTATGTGTACAAGAACAAGTTGAACAAGTACGGTGGGTGTTGGATATCAAGATTCCACTCACTGCAGGCCAGGAGTTCCTTTGGGAATGGGGTCGGAGAGGGTTTGAACAATAGCATTTTCAAGGCTGTGAGAAATTTAGTACGTTTTGGAGCTTTATGAGAAGTGACTTTGAAAATTGAGTTTGGGTTACAAGCCAAATCCTTCCCCAGAAGAGTTTGAAGGTTCATAATTTTAACAAGTCATTCAGATCTGGAGGCATTTAGAGTTAAAGACCTGAGGGGTAACAGGTGTGTTCAGGAATTTGAGTTCTAGAAAGCCCTTTTCCTTGTTCTACGTGGAATTGCATTTTATATGTTTGACCAACTGCTGACTGACTAGTTCTGATCTTTTTTTAGTATCAAATTTTACTCCTAACAGGTGTGGCCCCACTTAATGCCAGACTGCTAGTTTTCATTATGAGGTGAGCTGCTCAGTTTGGCTTGGGTTTCATTCCTGGCTGTAGTATTATTGGGAGCTTAGTAGCATTATGTTCCCTGTGATAACCTCCTCTGAGGTTACTCTGGTAACTACTTATTGTTATATTCTATTAGTATAGCTAGAAAAATTATGTGTGTCTCCTTGTATTACACAATAAAAATCTATTGGCCAATATTGTCTTGAAATGTTGATTTCACTCATCAAACTCATGTTAATTCAGTTTTATTGGAAAATGGCCCCTTTTCTATTTAATATGTGTCAAATAATATTTGAAATATAAATAATTGCACTTACTACTGAAACATCACCAAATTACAGTGAATTCTTCAATTCAAAAGGACCTGTAATGTAAGAATATTATTAATATCTGTTTTTCTGTGCTTTTATGAGACTAAATGGACTTTTAAATGTTTTGGTTGTATGGAACCTAGATAGAATTAGTGCATTACTAATTATCCCTTAAGCATACTCTGCAAAGTGTCAAATACACCTTACAAGTAGAGCCTTTATTATAAGGTTGCTGTTAAAATCCCATTATAAAAGCTTCTCATTAATGCTTGGGTAAGCATATAGAAAGAATAGAGGAGAAACTAGATTTTAATAATACAAACAGGGGACTACAGTTAGCTCATAACCTTAGAAAATCAACCCTTAGTTTTGAATAATTAATTATAATTGTTACTATGGAGAAATTTTAATTCACATCATTTCTGTCTGGCGGTACATTCATCTTCTACTGGGTCAAGACCAAAATGTCTATCTCATTAGTTCTCTGAAGGCTATTAATTTTTAAGCTTTGGCTCATCTGACAGCAATTCTAGAATTTTTTTTTTTTTTTTTTTTTTTTTTTCTGTTTAGAAACCTTTGTAATTTCCAGCAGAGAGTTAGATGCTAAGCTCTCTTTTGAGATGGGGTTGCCAACCAGTAGTTTTTTCCTCAGGCCAGTGTCTCCAAGCCAAAACTCCTTACACAGTAAAAGAGTCTTTCAAAACAGACCTACGATCCTCTTTGACCAGCACCAGGTCCATGGGAAATACCAGTATTAGTGACTCTAGGCTTCCGTCTTTTCAGATGGGCCAGACAGTGAACATAGTTTGCCTTTGAATCTTTTCCATTTTCAGAGCTTGTGACTTGGGGGTTTATGTCTACCTTTGGTCTTTCAGAGTAACTACTGTTTTTTCTGAATCCTGTTTTCTTAATAATTCCCACACCATAGCCTTTTCACTAATGTAAACCAACTTAAAAAGCAATGGGGAACATTTCTTATAAAGCATCTATATGTTTTGTGCCTGTTTGCTCTTAACTAGAATCTGGCTTTGTTAGGCTAAGAACAAAGCAGATGGAATTTCAAATCCTGATGAAGTTATGTCACAGAATGATTGGGGAAAATACTTGGAATTCGACCATTCATGTGTTGAGTTCTTGCCAATTCTCATTATATAAGTAAATTGTAGCTAAGTTTCTCTATAAATTAAAGCTGGCTAATCTACTAAAATTGCTCTGAAAGGTAATAATTTCTCCTTCAATATGGAAAAATTTTGCTCTACTTTTCCCAATTTAAACCAATCTTTATTGCAAAGACAAAAAAAAATCTTCAGTGCCTGAGGTTACAATCACAGAAATTTAGGAAATATTTATTTGTAAAAATTTGAGCTCAGCTTTTCATATTATTTGTAGATTTTTTACTGACAGTATTTTACTACATTCACTTTTATGTTGAATTTATTTTGAGAATTTGGAAAATGCAGAGTAATACTTAAAAGAAACCAAATATTTTTCAAAAGTATTGATGAGTTGTTATTCTCTCAGCTCCTGTCTCTAAAAGAATATGTCCCATGTAGCTGCTTTAAACTACTGTTGAAATTCAAGTTTACAATGTGTATAAGGATATTTGAGATAACTATTGAAAGTCATTGAATGAACTCTAAATATAGCAGAATTCTTTTTTTTTGCTGACACTTTTTACCATGGAAAAGCTTATAGCTGGGGACAAAATGTTTTCTACAGGCTGAAGAGGCATGTTGGAGAATACAACATTCAAAACTTTTAAATCTCCTTTTTGGGAAGACTGTTCACCCTGTCCCCACTGTTCTGTCAGTGTAGATGAGCCCTATATTTCTCTTGACCTTGAGTTAGGGTGAAGAGAGCAAAAATCACTATTAAGCCATAATGAGGGGAAGGCCAAACAAGTGCATCTTTTTTTTTTTTTTTTTTTTTTTTTTTTTTATGCTGGGACCTTGATCTAGAACAAGCACATGAGGCTTTATCTTTATTTGGAAGCTCCCCAGAGACATCTACAACCTTCTACCACATATTACTTTATTTTAACTAACCTTTCCTTTGATGTTAGTTACTAAATTTTTACTTAAATTAAAATTAAATAATTGCTGCATTCTGAAATTGGATGTATCTGATATCTTGACCTGACAAGAGTGGATATAGGAGCAACATAGGAAGCCAGTATCTTTTTCATAGTATACTGTTCTGAAAATGAATAGGAGAAAGTCCTGTCTTAGAATAGCCACAAAAATGTTTAAATCACCTTAAGAAATATGTAAGTTTTATATTGAAACAGATGACAAAACTGTATCAAAGGACTTAAGGGGATGGCTTGAATAAATTAGAAATACCATATTCCTGAATTGATAAGCAGGTTGATTATTTTAAACTGACTGATTCTTCCAAAATTATCTGTACATTCCATTTAACCCTTAATGTAATCCTAATGTTTTGTTTTTAAAGGCTTTTTAAGGGTTAGCTTTAGGTTTATAGCAAAATTGATTAGAAGGTACCGAGTTTTGCCACCACACATCCACAGATTCCACTGTTATCAGCCCCCACCATCGTGTGGCATTTATTACAATCAATGAACCTATATTGACATATTACGGTTTGCTCTTAGTGTTGTACTTCATATGGGTTCGGACAAATGTATAGCGACTTGTGTACTCACTTGTGGTATCATACAGTGTGGGAAATCTGAAAATGTCAGGTAGGTGTATGGTAGTGGCTGAGCCTTGTTCACATGCCTGGATTCTAGCTGCAAGAGAGACAAGGAGAGTGTGTGGGGATTTCTCAGCATCTCCAGGCCATCGTGGACTTCTGCCAGCACATGCGTCCCAGATATTCCTCTTCAGTCAGAGCTAATCAGACTGGAGTCTCCCCTTCAAAAATGAACAAAGCACACATACCTAGGATAGGTGGTGGTAAAAATACTACTTCCTCCTTTGAAAAAACAATAGCTCCTACCACATAGCAAGTAAATGACTTAGAAAATTTAAAATTTTTCCACTTTTTATTTTCAAGAAATGAAACAATTTTATCTAAGGTCTATAATATAATGCAAGCTCTCAATAGATATTGTTTCTGTTTTTTCTTTAAACTCTGGAGATTTTGGAATCTTTTTGGAAGTTTTAGACTGGTACGACCTCTTGCTCTCTACAGACCGGGCTAGTTCTTCTATCTGTGTCTCCTCTCCTGGCCTCCTGCCAGTTTTGAATCTTATATAACCAGCCAGTACTGGTTGTGGGAGTAGGGCTGATATGAGGCAGAAAAGCAAAGATTGGTGAAGTTTTAATTGTAGAACTGTCTTAAAATACGGACTGATTAAAGAACAGTTCTTTAATGTGCCAAAATAATAACTATTAGTCTTTTCAATTCAATTGTTCATGTTCATTTTAATCAGGGAGGCTTAGTTTGAAGCAATTTATTAAAAACATTTGGCCTTCACCTTGCTAGCATTAAAACCCAGGTGGTTGGCTAAACGCATTTGTAATGGTGTTAATTAAGGCATTGGATAGTCTCTAAATCTGTGTGCGCACTGAATTAATCTGTTAGCCTTGCATCTAATTCTTCACTTTGAATTTGAAATAGAAGGAAGCTGTTTGCCTGTAAAGTTTAAAAACCATTGATGTGATTGTTAAACTTGGTATTTTAAGCCATTCCAGGGTGCAGTCTGACTTTCAGTGGTACCCTCTAAAAATGCCTCAGTACAAATGATGCTTTGTTTTATCCAGAAAATATGAAGCTGCTTTTGATTATTCTGTGCTGCATTGCCCATTTTCTGTGGTTGTGGACTGTTATTTAGGAATTTTGTGCAGTGTCTGTCTTGCTGAGCTGTGGATATTTGGTACCTTCTTGTTAACAGACTCCAAAAATGTTTCCTAAGCAACAGAATAAGCAAAAATAATTCATTTTAAAGGTAATGTGTTTCTTTTTTAACTAGGCCATTTAAAACAAATTCTGAATTTTTTTTTTTTTTTTTTTTTTTT